CGCCCGGCCCTGTATATGTTTTTGATAACGGTGATGGTCTTTCCCAAGCCTACATAATTTTTTAATAAAGATGATTCAATATCCTCCCATGTACATCTTCTTGGCTCATGAATTCTTTTAGAACTAAGACTATTGTCTACCAAATCAAAGTTAGATCAGTTCATTTTTTCATTCTTATCACAGTATCTCTACACTTAGACTTATCAAAGTACTTCTTGCTTGGATGAATAAAATTCTATTCGAGTAACTAATGGACCACAATTTTTTCTGTTTCCTTGAAGAATGCAATACTGTAAATCCAGTGTGCTATATGGAAATAGGTAGGTTACGTTGAATTTGTGCTTAAGGATATTTCACACTAAATAAAAACTCATCAATAGTGGTTATATTACAGGGAGAGGAACTAAGGTGGGGTAAATGTACACTTTCTGCACAGATGACATTTATCATATGCAAAAAATTGTCTTTAATTTTTTTTTCTAGTAATATTCCAAGATTCTATTTTAAATGCCCCAATTGTGACCACTGGTTATTATACTTACAAAAATATTTACTAAAAAAATACACACTTAAATCTTCAAATTCATAGGTAGACCCAGATATTCTAGATCTTTCAGTCTAATAGGACATATTTGACTACAGATATATGTTTCTTAATTCTTCCAGTCATAACTTTTATATATTTCTGCCTTTTTTATGAGATGGCTCCAAAAATCAAGTACCAAACACAACGGGTTTTTTTTCTCTCTTGCTTTGCCACCCAGACTGGAGGGCAGTGGTGTCAGAGCTCACTGCAACCTCCAACTCCTGTATTCAAGCAATCCTCCCACCTCATACCTCAGCCTCCAGAGAAACTGGAAGTACAGGTGCACACCACCACACCTAGCTAACTTGTTTTTATTTTTTGTAGAGATAGGGTCTCATTATGTTAATTAGGCTGGTCTTGAATTCCTGGCCTCAAGCGATCCTCCCAGCTTCCCAAAGTGCTAGAGTTACAGGCATGAGCCACCAGGCTGGAACTAAACACAACAGTTTGAACAACTATACAATAATTATAAAATACTACTTCTGTGGCATTAACTTTTACTAAGTAATAGTTTAAATCTCAACTTTTCAATAAACTAATAATGAATCTCAATGCCTTATTAAAATCTTAAATCACAAATCAAATCATGGCCTTAAAAAGCAAGGCCAGGCGTGGTGGCTCACACCTGCAATCCTAGCACTCTGAGAGGCCGAGGCGGGAGGATTGCTTGAGCTCAGGAGTTTGAGACCAGCCTGAGCAAGAGCGACACCCCGTCGCTATTATAAATAGAAAGAAATTAGCCAAACAACTAAAAATAGAAAAAATTAGCCAGGCACAGTGGCGCGTGCCTGTAGTCCCAGCTACCCAGGAGGCTGAGGGAGGAGGATAGCTTGAGCCCAGGAGTTTGAGGTTGCTGTGAGCTAGGTTGACGCCACAGCACTCTAGCCCAGGCAAGAGAGTTAGACTCTGTCTCAAAAAAAAGAAAAGAAAAAGAAAACTCATTTTAAAAAGCAACCAAATAAACAGAAATCAGTGAGCTGGCTACAATGAAAAGTTGGCTAAGAAAGTCACCTTCAATATTTTACTTATTCAAAAACTAAAAGTATAACTTACTTGTTATAAAATCAATCTATTCAACTTCAAAAACATATTTCGAACAATGCTTTATTACCTGTGGCTGGGTTGATGCTGGCTGCAATGTGAAAGTGGCAAAGTGCGTTGGCTTGCAGTGGAGTGTTCCTGTGGACGTGGTGAGGGTTCTGCTGATGAGGCAGATATCCAGTATGTGCTACGAGTGCAAGTGATCTCCTCCGACCTCTACGAAAATGTCTCAGATTTACCTGTACCAATAAAAACAAAGTAAAACTAATACCTATATTGTTTCAAGTCATATATGTGTAGATTACATAATCATTGCTAGAAGTTATAGATATTCTATTTAATTTTATATGTAAAAATATCTTTCGATATTATCATATAGCAAATTTGAATCCTGCAGAATACGGTTAGAACTTAAACTGCTTGGCTCTCTTAACCTTCGCACAATATTTTGTAATTTTTATTTGGTTTTATTTTCTTAAAATTAATTTCCTAAACTTAAAAAAATTTTTTTCCAATACTGTGTCTGTGAATAATGATGTCTCTACATATGCTATCCTCTTTCTCCAAAGCTAACTCCCTGTCACCAAAGCACTGAATAATATTACCATCATACAGGAGGATATTTCATTATTTATAAAGTATCATTTCATTTAACCCCATAAGGCAAGCAGTGCAAATATTGTTATTCTCATCTTTCATAAGATAAAATAGTTTATATAGAACCCAAGGTCACCTAAGCTGACAAGAGGCAGAGCTAAAAGTGGAACAAGTCTTTAGATTCCTAGTCAAGAACTTCATTCAGCTATTACTATACATAACCACTCTACTCACTATTGAATAGCTATGCAGTATATATTCAATTATATTCTCAACTATTAAAATATTACCCAAATTTGAAAAATAGTTGTCCCATAATCATGCAAACCTTTAAAGATAATTTTTAAATCACTTCATATTTTCAATATTAAGAAAATAAGAAGAAGAATGTATATTACTATTCTATCTTCAATTAGTCCAAACCTCAAAAATTGACTTTTGGCTGGTCGCGGTGGCTCACGGCTATAATGCTAGCACTCTGGGAGGCCGAGGTGGGAGGATTGCTTAAGCTCAGGAGTTCAAGACCAGCATGAGAACAAGTGAGACCCCGTCCCTACTAAAAAAATTTAAAAAATTGACTTTTACGTTCAACACTAATTTGTAAAATAAAGACTCCAAGTTCTTGGCAGTTTTGAAGTTAACAAATGGTAGAATGGAATATGATAAACTACCCAAGCTTTAAGGAAAAAAAGTTATTTTAAAGTGAAATCTTTGCATTTTCAGATTTTAATTTACTTTATGTTACTGCAGCTAAGTCAACTGTAATCATCTTTTTGTTTTTATCAGTTAACCTGAGATTAACTTTATAATTATAGGTACTTTTGTGATCTTGACAAAATCCTTCGCATATTTTTTGAACCAAATAAAACTGAAAATTTTTTGAGAATTGTTTTCCGAAGATATGGATTTTTTTTTTTGAGACAGAGTCTCACTCTGTTGCCCTGGCTAGAGTGAGTGCCGTGGCGTCAGCCTAGCTCACAGCAACCTCA